TAATTCTTACTAAATGGCATAATCTAATAACCACAGTGATATGAAGATTACATGCCTAAGTCCCAGACTCAGATTCTTAAGATGTGTATGGATTTCTCAAGTCTTTGCATTTCCTCACCATTGAAAAACAGGGTGAATGAATTAGGTTGACCTTGTTCACCATAGCTCCTGTTTGCTGCATAACCTTAGGAAAATGAATTAACTACATTAATCTTTAAAAGTAAATACCACTATTCTTCATCTATAAAATAAAGAAATACAAATACCTATGCAAAACACTCATCAGCATCAATCAATCAATCAATCAATCAATCAATCATCACCAGTGCTAACCTCTTACAGCTCTCCTGCCTGTCTTGCCTTTCTCCTTGTTTTCCTCCAGTAACCCAGCTTCAGCTAAGGTGTCCATTTCTCCTGCTAGAGAAGTCCCTGAAGTCACTGATCCTTAGGAAGAGCTTGGTAAATAATTAACATATGAATGGATAATGAATAAATAAGAATCTAGATTTTTTTTTTAATCCTAGGCTTACACTGAATTGAAATTAGGAAGACCATCAGAGGATACTAAACATTTTGCATCTCATCTGTACACCTGAGGGAGTCTGCACTGAACACAAGTTCCATCAGTGGGGTCCCCACACTTACTCTCTAAATCACATTAACCCAATGACTTATTTAAAACCAGTCATAAAAGACACTTGGATTTGGTGCTACCAAATGAATCAGCTTGTTAGGACTTTGGGAATGGCAGCACAAACGCATTGAAAAGCAATTTGTATATTTAAGTGATAGAAACAGTCTTCTGCACATGCACACGTTCTCTCAACTGTAGGACTTATTTATACTTGGGAACTCTAGGACTAAACTCCCAGGAATCATGTTTCTATCTCAGTTCTATATCTTCTTTCCTTGCAGTAGCATTGGAAACACTTATATGCATTACATGTCAAAACAAACAATAACAACAACAAAACAATAAACCTTTGGACTTTCAGCTTAAATTCTTCATAAGGAAAAGGTGTTGATTTAAATGCAGGCAATGATGTGTCCTCTAGGCTACAATATTATACGTTATCCTTAAAACTGAAATACATTTCTTTTTCTATTTTAGGTAAGGCTTATTGTTCTCCCCTGACATGAATGCAAAAATCAATTCTCAGGGTTTCTTGAAGGAAAATCAAGCAGTTGTTGAAGCATCACTTGAAGCTCTGTGTTGAGTGTGAAAATACAAGATAAACTCTCACATGTGTTTTATAAAACTAACTAAAAAATAATGAGCTAAAGAACTGTATCGTGCAGTGAAAAGAAGAAAAACAAAAAAAACAAAAAACAAAACCCATAAACCTAGTTGGATGGTTGTGGCACACACCTTTAATACCAGCACTTGGGAGGCACAGGGAGGCTGATCTAGAAAGGCCAGCCTGGTCTACAAAGCGAGTTCCAGGACATCCAGGAACTTGCTGTTATACAGAGAAACCCTGTCTTGAAAAACAAAAGCAAACAAAAACCAACCCCCCCCCCAAAAAAACAAACCCATATACCTTTCTTGAACTTATGCACTACTCTTTTTAATATGAGAAGCTCTAACTCTTTATTATTGATATATGTGTTAAAACAAAAAGGTCTCATATAGCCCAAGCTGGCTTAAACTTTGTATATACCTGAAGCTGGCCTGGAAATTCTGATCCTACTACCTCTACCTCCTGAGTACCAGGATTAGCAGGCATGTACCACCATACCCAGTTTTTATATGGTGCTGGGGACTGAACCTAGGATTGTGTGAATGCTAGGCGAGTACTCTACCAACTAAGCTATACTTTCAACCTGATAATATATATTTTATGGGGAAATATGGTAATAATTGTAGATAGAAAGAGGCACAGAAATAGTTCAAGTCTTCTCAATGCTTGAATAGTATAAGGCTAAGGAGATGGCTCATTGGGTAAGATAACTTGCTGTGCAAACATGAGGACCTGAGTTCAAATCCCAAGCACACATATAAAAAGCTGAGCATGGATGCACATACATGTTATCAGAGTACTCGGTGTGTAGAGGTGGATGGGCTATGGTGGGGTCAGAATCACAGGAGTTTGCTGTCGGGCAGCCTAACCAAAATGGCAAGCTTCCAATTCAATGAGATACCCTGTCTCAAGGCAATAGGTGGGAAGTGATAGAGGAAGACACCCAATGTTCTGCTGTAGCTTCTCATGTGTGTCATGTGTCTCTCCACACATATATAATACTACCACAACACCACACACACACACACACACACACACACACACACACACACACACACACACACACACACACACACGCGAGAGAGAGAGAGAGAGAGGGAGAGAGAGAGAGAGAGAGAGAGAGAGAACATAATAAACAGAAATTTGAGACACATGGCTACAATATTTAGACGTATATTTTGAAAAGCATAGTCTGATTATCAGTAGTACTAAAATGTATGTTTAGATTAAACTTAAAAGTTTAAAAGTCAACATCTTGATAAACATTTAATGATAGCTTAACTCCTTTACTCTGTGAGCAAGGACTCCAAGTGACATATTTTTCTTGGCTTCTATTTTGGTTTATAGTCCCTATTTAGATTTGCTTTGCCTTCTCATGGGTTCTGGTGGCCCACAGAAATACTCTTTTCACTAATTAGTGGCCTGAGGCCAGCCAATCAAACTTCCACTACAGTGACATTTTGTCTATTACCTTGGGAGGCCACTGTACTGAGTTCTGAAAAATAAAACAGTGCTACCCTCCAAGTCTCTTCATCCCTCAAGTTCAGAGCTCAGGATACCACTCATCATGAGAGCAAAGCATTGCTGTGGGATTTAGGGAGGTTTCTGACAACAAGGTATGTATCCCCAACTGACCAACCCAAGAATCAGAAGAGGGGCCTGGGACTGCTCATAGGTCTAGTGCCATTGAAGTTACTAGGTGTGGAAGAGACATCACCTATAGCTGAAAGATGAGCATGTGGGGTTGGTAACCAGATTCATTCCTACTAATAAGCATTGTTAAGACAACTGGACTACAGCTCAGTGTGCTTGGAGAGCACATGCAAGGCCCTGGATTTGATCTCTGGCACCGCAAAAGCCAGCCAGCAAGCAAACAAGACTTAGTTTTACTAAGTATTCCTAAGGGAATAAATTTTCTACGCTTAAGTTTTCATGTTTAGTTCTATTAGTATCATCAGCACTGCCACATAACATTCCACCCAACAGTTCTGTAAAGTTGAACCAGCAGCTCTTTATATCCATTTTTCTCTACATTTGAAATGAAAGAGCTTGGGGCTGGATAGTGGCTCCACAGTTAAGAGCACTTGTTTTTGTACAGGTCCCAGGATTAGTTCCTCACACTTATATTGTGGGTTGCAACCATCTGCAACTCTAGGTCCAAGGGACCCAACTCCCTCTTTTGACCATCCGTGGGTACTAGGCACATGCATGATACATAAGCATAAATACATGTAAGATATTCATACACATGAAAATAAATAAATCTAAAAAATTAAAAACAAGACATCTCCAAAGTTCCATAGTGTCAGAATATTGTCTCTCTCCTATTGTAGAGTCGGTTATCAGGAAGATTAATTATAAACTTCAGTCTGTCCATAAAACCTTCTAAATGTAGCATGGATAGCAATTAATCAAAGGTTTTAAAGTCAAAGTGATGGACAAAGCCTGGTTTATACTTTAACACTCTGGCTAACTCTGGTGTCCACTTGCCACGGGAACAATGCAGCAGGGTGGGCAGGAGCACCCTCTTCCTTTATCCCATTTCAACATGCAGTATGCATCTTCCACTTTGGCCATGAGGATTCCCAGGTATTACTGAACACTCCCTAGCTAGACAAGAGGCTTACAAAGATTTCTGCAAAGTAATCTCAGATTTAAAGTAATACCAATAGTGCAGCCATAAGTTAAGGAGTTTTAAAGAGTTGGGGACAACAAGCTTCCTTTTTTGTTTTCTGTTTTTAGAATATGTTCTTTGTCAACACCCTTATGGGTCAAAACAATGACTGTCTAGTTAGATCCAAGGAGACACAGTTCTCCCTAACCATGTTCATCAAACACTGGAGCTGTCTCCCTCTATTGCACTGTTCCCTCAAAGCACAATGGGTCTCAGGTTATTTGCCAAGAATGCAAGTATACCTAAAGCTGAAGGCTGTTATTTATGCACACAGATCTAGATGTAGGTGATTTTTTCTTTTTCCTTTTACTAGTAGGAATACAAGAGCAACAAAGTTGGAAGTCTTAGTTAAGTGACAGCGGCTGACAATGCTATGTGCCTTGTACAATGTCAAGATTAAGTACCTGGGACATGGCCCTGTGACAGAGTCACAGCTCCAACATACAGCCAGCTATATGCTATGTAATAAGCTTTATAGGCTTCAGCATCCATCCCATAGGGTTGCTGCGGTATTTTGAACAGGAAGATTGGATAATGTAGACTACTTGAAATATTTAGTTCTTTTGACTTACCCTTAATTTGACAAGAAGGACATATGCATGTGCAATAACTGAGAAGGATAGAGTAGGAGAATGTCTTTACTATTTAAAGTTGCATCATTTGGAGCTGTAGAGGTCACTCAGCAAGTGCATGCTTGTCAAGGAGGGGTACCTGAGTTTCATTCCCAGAACCCAGGTCAAAACAAACAAACAAACAAAAAACCTGGGTGTGGTGGCATAAGCATGTAACCCTAGTGCTGGAGAGCTGGGAACAGGCAGATCCTTGGGTTTTCTGGCTAGCCAGTCTAGGCTAGGTGGCAAGTCAAGGTAGTAAGAGACCCTATCTCAAAAACTAAAGGAAGAAAAGAAGGTGGATCACCCTGGAGGAATTATAGCCAATGGCATTATCCATATATACACACACACACACATGCATAAAAAAGTTGAACTTGTTTTTACTGGCCCAGATGATAATGAATGTGTCCAATATAGGGTATGGATAGGCTTAAACATAAGGTCTCAAAGAGCAGTTTTAATTTAACTTACCACATTAAAATCTAAATATTTTTTAATCCATGATTTAGCTTCCTGAAATTCAGTCTTCATTCCCATAATGAAAAGTGTATCCAGGGCATCTACGATTGTTGCTCCTTTGATGTTGCCTGAAAAACACCAAAAGCATCTTTCAATATTCTTGAGATGTATACATATTGACCACAGCTGGAAAAAACTGTAATTCTCAACTCATTAACAAACAGTAATACTGTATAGAGTATTCATTTCCTTCAGAAAATAAAATATAAAAATACAGCATACCAAACCAAATTTTTCATAGGCTATAGGCTATGAACACCAATCTTTAACATTGACTTTGAGTTGGAAAAACTAAACCCCTTGGAAACATCATTTGTGAATGCATTCTCTAGACTAAAAAGGAAAGGATAAGCCTGAAGCAAAGGGGTAGTTGTCATTAATTTTTGTGTAGTTGCGCTGGAGTGCACTTGTGTGAAATTTGCTAGATGTAGAATTATCACCATGCTTGCTCTTTTAATTCATTGCAGCAGTCACCCTTTATCTGCAGACAATATGTTTCAAGAACCCTGGGAGATGCCTGTTGTAGCAGATAGTATTGAACCTCATATATACTACGTTTCTACTAAGCATAAATACATTTACTGCCTTTTCCATTTTAACACTTAAGCACTTTAGCCATACATAACCTTTGCAGTTCGATGTGGAACAACAAAACTAACTCAGATTTCTTCTTTCTTTTCTTTCCGGTTCCATGGACAGAAGATTCATCCTGACTATAGCTCTTAGTGACCTCAGCATATGATTTTCCTGCTCCCTTTCCACATTAAGCTGGATATCAGGTACTTTTATTGTTAAAGGAAATACTTTTTAGGCTTCTCTTTGGCACACTCAAATTGCCAGCATGGTACTCTTGTACTTTTGAACCATTAGTGAAATAGGGTGACTTGGACACAGAGAATAAAATGCCAAGAGAGACGAAGCAAAATGGCTACCAGATGACTGACAGGTGGACACTGGAATGTGTCCCATCCAGGCCAGACAGAGCTGGAGGCAGTCACAATTTCACAATACAATGATTGAATACCATTTAAAGGATAAGGATTCTTGGTTTTAGAATCTTCCTCAATGTTTTCAGACTGCTGTTGGCCATAGGTGACAAAATTCCAGAAAACAAAAGCACAGGTAAGCAGGTGTTCTATGTTCTGACTTGAAATCCTTGCCATCTATAATGTCGTGGCTGATCCCAATGCCCTTCTCTTGTCTAGCCAGACCCAGGTTCTGTATATTCCCTCTGAGCTCCCTCTGCATGTAGATTTTTACACTTCTCAGGCACCCATCATGTTCTGTCATCTTTAGTCTACAAACCTTCTTAAAGGAGAAAGATCACATTTTGTACATTCCACATTCTCCTTGGTGCCCTTTATGAGTGTAGTAATGATGTTCAATCAATGGCTGTTGAAAGTCTGAGTACTACATTTATTCAGTGCAAATCCATAAATAAAAATGGAACACACTTCAATGCACACACTGTTCAAGTAACAAGCTGAGAAGCTATCATTAGGAAACCAGAAGTAATAGAATATTAAAATACTTAGTTTTCTAAATCAGACTAAATTTAAATCTTACATAATGATAAAGACATGAAAATTAGAAAACTTTTAGTGTCACACTTTATCCTAATCCAATGTTCTTAAAAATACAGTTTTTTTTTTTTTTTAAACAAAACTATGGAATCAAGGGAAACATTACAGGTAATGTTTTCAGGTCACATTTTGAAACATGATAACAGATTCTTATGATTATTGATTTCTAATTTCTCAGTCATTAGGAGCTGTTTTGTGTTGTTGTTAATACTTTATACTGAATATAACTGATCAAACACAAATGGTTCTCTTTGAGGAACAATTCTGTCAAAACTGTAGCTCTGCTTTCTTTTTTTACAGTGGAACTGGGAGGTGGCAACTCCTCGAGGTCACTTCTCATATTCATGAGCATCGTTTTAAGTTAAGGAAGGAGCTGGTTTTCCTTTCACAGGCAAACAGGTGAGTTTCAAGTAACTGGAAAGAAATCGCCATCAGAAGGAAGCATCAGTGTTGAAGGACTCCTCGGATGCTCCTGACTGGCAAAAACGATCTTCACAGAGCAGATTGCCTCCTGAAAAGCAGGCTGCTCTGGGGGACCAAATTCTGAATAAGCCACTGAATAACCACTCCAAAAAACTAGGGGAAAAAAAAAAGAAATGTTTCTTTCTTCTATGGTTTGCTGAAAGAACACACAGGCACTTGCAGACAAAGAATTTGGCTCAGATGCATCTAATGAAGGCAATTAAAAGTTTTTCTCACCTTCGAAAATAAGGCCTTTTAATTTTTGCAATAAGTCCCTGGTGTTGATTTTTATTATAGAAGAAAATCTTCCATAGCCTATTTTAATTTAAAAATGGAAATAGATTCCATTTGATTAACAGTTCATTTTGCTATATTACTATTTGAGGCCTTTTGTAAAGATTAGGTGCTTATTTGCTTCATAAAGTGTTTTTTACTGATAAATCCAGTGAAAACTGTAGAAACAAAAAGACTCAAAATGTTTTTAAAGTTTATTATTAAGACCACTGATCTATTAACAGTAATCTATTCAATGAAGATATGGTGAATTAACACAAAACTGAGTTATCTGATTAACTGTCACTAAGAGGAAAGGAAAATAGGGTAATTACTTTTAAAGACTGATTTATTATTTATTTTGTGTGTATAGGTGGTTTGCCTTCATGTGTGTTTGTGAACACATATGGGCCGTAGCTGTGGAGGCCAGAAGGGGATGTCAGATCTTCTGGAACTAGAGTTAATAGAGAAATGCTGAGCTGCCATGTGGGTGCTGGGAATCAAACCTAGGCCTTTTCCAACAGCAGCCAGAGCACTCAACTGCTGAGCCATCTGCCAGCTCAGATTTAAGTTTTTTTAAAAAAGTTATAAAAGTAAACATTCAGCAGGGAAGGTTGCCTGACTTACCGTGAAATTCCAGTTTCTTTCTTAAACTTGTACCTCTGCTCTTTCATGGGGCCTTGTCACAGAGTCCTGAGAGATGACTGGAGCTACATCTGAAGTCACTTCTGTTGCAGGCACTCACTCCCAACTTAAGTTCCCTGTCTCTGAACTGAATCATCATGGTGACACAGCAGTCTCTTCCACTCTTCCATGCAAGGCCCTTCTCCCTGCATGGGATCCCAATGGCTCCTGGTACTCTATAAATCTACCAAACCACCTCACACTTTGAGAATTCACTGTTTATAAGCATGCTGGCTACACCACACCATCAACTCTTGCAATGACTTGGATTACCTCCTTCAACACCAGTGATAGAACTGGAGCTAAATTGATGAAAAGTCCCTAAGAAACAGAAAAGCAGGATACTGGGATTAGGAACATGGAGTCTATCAAGCTGGAGTTCCTGCCCTGCCATGCCAGTGCATAGGCAACTATCTCTGAGAAAGTTCTCTGTGTTTTATCTTTTTTTTCTCACCAAAAATGTACATAAATGAGATGGAATGATATGTGGCAGAGTGGCACTATATATAGTAATTGTTCCATAAGTGTCACCAGAAATTGTTACTTGTTATATGAACTGGTACTATTTAAGATGTTTGGTTAAAGTATGGAAAGTCATGCTGGTGAGTTCAACAGTGACAGAGTTACTTCCTTTCCTTTACCCCGTTACTTACAGTTAAAGTTTTGAGCACTGGAAAGAAACCAAGCCCAGGAGGTGGCCCTGAGGAGGTCTTTGTTCAGAGGAATCCATCAAACATTGCTGGTGTTTCCTTCTTTCCGTAATAGGAACATTATTAATACAAACAGTACCAATCAGAGTGTTGCTATGAGGACCAAGTGCAATACAGCAAAAAGCAGTAGATGGAAGTTCAAACAGCTGGCCTAATCTGCTTGCCTGGTCTTCCTCAAAACAAATAGTGGAAAGCTACAGACAACCCAAACTGAGTTACAGAAGGGATCACCATGGCCCATTACTTCAGCAAGATTATCTATAGAGACAGAACTTTTAGGCAGCAGGAAGCCCTTAATGCAGGTAACCAAATAGTCTTCTACAGGAATCACCCCAGACCTTAAAACCCAGCTGTGTCCTCCATCCCTGGAAGTCAGCCCTGGGCATCAGTATGTTTTACAGTTACATGGGTCTCTCTGACACAGAGCTGGTGTTCTTTATAAAAGATACATTATGTGCAATCTTTCTACAGTTCCAGCAGAGGTTCAAGATTCCTAGCAACATGGAGGGCCTGGAGAATCACAGAACCCTACCAGCCTTTTGACCATCAGTAAGTTCAGGGAACTTAGAGAAAAGACACTAGCATAAAAAGCCAGGAGTGGTGTTTCATAACTATAATTTCTGGAAGGTGTGGCAGTGTGAAAGACAATACTCCACCCCCATTGACTCATATATTTGAATACATTGACCTCGGTGTGTGGGAAGGATTCTGAGGTATGACTGTCATTGGGGGTGGGCTTTGAGGTTTCCAAACCCATGCCATCACTAGTTAATCTTTCTTTATCTCCTATTTGTGTATAAGAATATAAGTTCTTAGCTACTACTCCAGTGCCATGCCTGCCTCCTGCTGCCATGCTCCCCACCATGATGGTCACCGACCACCTTCTGAAGCTGGAAGCCCCATTAAATACTTTCTTCTATAAATTGCCTTCATCATGGTATCTCTTCACAGCAACAGAAAAGTAACTATGACAGAAGGCTAACTCGGGAGCAGTGCTGTAAATTCAAGGACAACCAGGGCTATGTGCTTAATTCCAAGCCAGCCAGGGCTAAGGGAGTGAGAACTTGTCTCAAAAAACAAAAACAGAAAATCCTCAAATCAAAGCACATCATACTCACCAAATAAACTGCTTGAATGGCCTTCTTTTGATATAGGCTTCAGTTCATTTAAGCCCCAGGCATAGCGTTTATAATTATTCCAAGCATGGTTCATCATCTGAACAGAGATAAAAATGAGATTACAATGTGAACTGGGATGTTTTTGTTACAAGATAGATCATAGTCTTTGGATTTGAAGGTTACAGCATTAAAATTCAGTGCTTAGTCTAAAAGGCTGATGATTAATTAAGAGAGAGATGGCTGTGTAAATTAGGACAGACATGAACAGAACATATGCATTACTTCTTTATGCCGACAAATACAAAGTTGCCTTCTTGGAACCCATTTAATCTTATTTATTGATATCTATATATTGATCATCTTCAAAAGTCAGTCCCTGACAACAGAAATTTAGTTTATCCTAAAATGATGAATCATTCCTATATTTATCTATTTCATTCTCATAAGATATCAGATCTGGAAACTTTGAATTCATATTTTTGTACAAGGTCCTTCCTATTTTTATTTACATAGACAAATGTTCCAGGTTATCACTTTAAATACCTCAGTGCTTTTTGATCAAGAAATATGAAAAAATATTTTGAAATAAGGACAAGAAAGAAAAAGAAACCCTACAGTTATGCCTGGAGTTTGAAAAACTGTATTATAATCAGTCTTGAATAAAATATGTATTTGGCCGGGCATTGGTGGCGCATGCCTTTAATCCCAGCACTTAGGAGGCAGAGGCAGGTGGATCTCTGTGAGTTCAAGACCAACCTGGTCTACAAGAGCTAGTTCCAGGACAGCCTCCAAAGCCACAGAGAAACCCTGTCTCGAAAAACCAAAAAAAAAAAAAAAAATGTATTTGTATACTCCTATGTTAACTGGTGATAGAGCCTATTTATTCCCAAATTAGAGATCAATATCATTTTTAAATGATATTTAAAAATTTATGGGACAGCCAACTGTCCCATAAATTAGTTGAATAAAAAGTTTTATGACTCAAAAACTATGTGTAATAATTAGTATTTAAAGACTGAAAAGTTGAACACAGGGCCTCACACACAACAGACAAGTACTCCTCCACTGACCCATTTCCTTAGGTCTCTTAGATTTTATTTTGAGACAGGATCTCACTAAGTTTCCTGGACTGAACTTGAACTTACCATGTAGCCCAGTCTGAGATCACAATCTTGACTCAGCCTCCAAAATTGTTAGGATTATAGACCTGTGCTACCAGGCCTGAATTATAATTATTTTTATACAGAGTTTTAAAAGAGTTAAGGACTCCTCAATTCATGCTTACTCATGCCACTATCTTATAGTAACAGTCATCAAAATATGGACATGATATGAAAATGTTCTCATTTTACAGGGCCATTACAAACATCACATACGGGGGCCAAAGAGGCAGCTTATCAGTGAAAAACACTTATTGTTTTTGCAGAGAACCCAGGCTCGGCTCCCAGCAATAACATAATGGATAACAACTATCCACAGTTTCACTTCCAGGAGACCTGATGCCTTCTTCCAGGCTTCTCGGGGACTAGGCATGAACATGATGCATATACATACACATTCAGGGAAATTACACACATAAAATAAATAAATCTAAACATGCTTTTGTGATGTATCACATAAATTTGTTGACAGTATTCATGGGCTGGTTATCACAAATCGTCTTCAGTAAGATCAGTCTGACTCAAAACAGAATCTATACATGTTCCTGACCACAATAGTGGGTACCTTTGTTTACCTATCTTCTATTTTATTTTCCATTCTCACCCATGTCACTACTAACAGCTACCAAGAATCTATACTATCCTCTGGGTATTCTGGCTGTTTCTCTTCTGCATGGTGCTCTGATTTTTCCAGAATCCTTTAAAATTTATCTTCAAGCCATATTGGTTGGGCAGATGAGGAGACTGCAGCTCAGAATTTATAACCAAAATAAAGCTTGACTCAGAGTCACAACATTTCAGCCAAGGATTCAGCTTGCATGCCCACACTGACCTGGCTCCAAAGCCTGAGGGCAGGAAACTGCACATTTCATCACCTCACTCTAATGAGTCTGTAACAGAATATCTCCCTTTCAAGTACCAGACTGGATCTTCCAGTAATCAGAAAACATGTACAGGGTAATGTTTTCAAGTTTTTTTTTTCTTTTTTGTCTTTTGTACAGATTAACTTCATTGGCAAGTACAATAGACTTAAGGTCAGGTAGCTACACTCTTTGGCCTATGGTGCCAGTTGATTGGTCACACATAAATGAATGAGTTGGCTTCTGTTGAGACCACCTTTACTTGTCCAAAAAAAATCAGGATCACAATTTCTCACAAGGTTTATGGTAGAATTCTAGAAACATGGCCTATGTTTTTGCATATAGCGTAGTGCCTGACAAAATGACATGTAGTTATGTGTTTATAAATGTTGAGCCTAAATCAAAAGCCAATTGTGTTAATAGCACATAAAATAGGAACCAGTGAGCTTTGGAAAGAACAGGTGTATGAAATCCACAAAGCCCTTTGAGAGAGTACACTTGTTTTGATGCCCACCCTCCATCAAATGCATTGCATTTTGCTAAACTCTTCATTCCTATGAATTTCCAAATATGCTTTAAAATTTCAAGAGCTTTGGAATATAGTCCTTATATAATACAAAAAATACATTATAGTTATTGTTTCAACTTTGAATCTGAATGGAAACTAGTGCAATATATTATTAATGGCTTAAAACAGCATATAGCTTTCCTACAAAGTAGGTGCTTCCCTGTTGAAAATTATCAAAACCAGGCATGGTGATACCTACTTGTAATCTCAGCACTCAAGAGGTGCAGGTAGGAAGGTGAGAAGTTCAAAGTCATGCCTGGTTACATAACAAGTATGAGGCCTATTGGCTGCATAAGACACTTCCCTGAAGGAAAATCATTTATACAATGCACAGTATCACATAATCCCCAAAAGTTTTATCTGTCTGTCCATCCATCCATCCATCCATCCATCCATCCATCCATCCATCCATCCATCCATCTGTCCACCAACCTATTAGCTTTTCTTATCCTTTTCCCCCAAGGGCAGACCAGGTGTTAATTGCTTAGTTGCTGCTATTTCATAAATTGCTGCATGTTTACCAACATGGTTTTCTCATCTCGTGATGAGTTCTCATCTCGTTTCTGAGTTAAACTTAGAAAAGAAGAAGACAATAATGTGATTAAATCCCCTGAACGGAACATCATGAGTGCTTTCTTCAGTGTTCTGTAAAGAGAAGGGAAGCAACCATATTGTTGATGGGTTGCAGTGCCAATCACCTTAGGTTGAAATAATCTGCTGTAATAATATTAAGATTTAAGATTTTATATACATGGGGTAGGGTGTGTGCATATATTGCATAATCATGCTACTGGATCCATAAGTCATACATGAAATCAATTGCTTATTTCAGATTTATGACTTACACAGATATTTGAAAACACAGAAATAATTGTCTGTGTACAGTATTGCCACAGCAGGACTATGGGGACAAAGACATTGAATCTCTCCAGACTTGGTGTCACAGCACACTGAGAAGACAAGAAGGTCACTTCTAAAATTTAACTGTCACCAGAGAAGGCCATGAATAGGATTGATCCCCCTCTTCACAGGCCTCTATTTTGCTTTGTAGCCTTTTATATACTTAATTAGGGTTCTACAGCTTGCCATTCTAAGATGAAGGACTAAAATTGAGCTAAACCAGATGCTGATTAGGTCTTCAAATGCAGTGCTGAAACCCTCATAAGAGAAATGGGAAGCAAACCAGACTTGAATTTGCATTGGTGGAAGCAGAGCCAACAGTGTGTAGATGGAAACAAAGGAAGGGCACAAAAATTTTCAATAGCAATCCCTTGTCCTGACCCAGAAAGGAAGGAATTGAAGCATAAGATATGCAAAAAAGCATTTACTTCTCCTTGACACTGTGCTCATAGAAAGGATTTCTCAATTTGTCCTATTCTTTACAGTTGACATCAAGGCTGAGTAATTAGGCAATGTCATTTATTGAGTGTCTGTTACTCCATGAATAACAAGATGCTAAAGGATTCAAAGGGAAGCAGACAAGCCTATCTCTCCTAAAATCTAGCAGATAATATGTGGGAGTTTAACAGTCCCATATACATCCTCAATAAAAGCTTATAAATACTGAACAATAAGACTAATAAAAATACCATGTACAGTTCTATAGTTGTGCTTAATAATTTGTTTTAAAGGCTATGTCTTTCCAAGGACAGTGGAAAGACAATAAATATGCTTGTATTTCCCCTGAGCTATAGGTTGATTTCATAGCTGTATTTTTGTTAGTGGAATGACCTTAGCAAATAATTCTGTTATTTATGTAATCTTAAGATTTTCATGATAGACATATTAAAAGCATCTTTTCAAAAATCTCACCATTTCACCAGTCAGCCTTATACAGATGTTGGGTTGTCACTTCTTCTTTTAGAACACATGTGATTTCAGTCCTATTTAAAGTCCCTTTCTATTTTGTACATTGGTTTTTGTTGTTTGTTTTAAGACATCATCTAATTATGTTGCCTTGGCTGGTTGCTATGTAGACCAGGTTGGCCTCTAACTCACAGAGATCCACCTGCCTCTGTTATATGCCATCACAACTGGCAACCCTTTGTAAATAGTGGCTGATCCTGGCTCACCAAATGATCCAGGGCCTGGTACTTGATTTAAAGAGAGAAAGCTTGGGGAAGTCATAAGCCTCTGAGGTGAGGTGCTCTTGTCAGTCACTCTCACTACTCTATCTGACCATCTATCTCTATCTGGGATACTTTGGGAGACATTCTGAGAGAATCTAGAGGCCAGGTACTTTTGTAGAAGCAGTGATGTGCAAATCCACAAAGAAAGGTCATAAATGGGATCACAAAGCAGTCAAAGGCAGGAGAGGAGTAGAGGGTCTGGAGTGGAAAGGAAGAAGGGGCTGAAAGGGAGAAGTGAAGTAGGAACTCAGTCCTCTATGGGGTACCTGTGAGCAGGGCAATTACACAATTACAAAGGATGCTGCTGATTCCTGAATGTTGACAAAATAGCTTCCTCTCTTCTCCGCAGTCTGATGAGGTTGTTTGCTCACCACCCTGTG